ATTAAATTGGATTATTGATTACATTTATATGACATACAGTTGCCTGCAACTCGGACTTCCCACAAAACATAATAAATGTTCTGGTCCCGACTATTGCAACTTTATGTGAGATTTACTGTAATTCTAAACTTAATTGTGATGCAGGGTTAGCGAACAAGATTACAACAACAACAACAAGATTCCATTTATAGAGCGCCTTTCACGTCGGGAGGACGTCCCAAGGCGCTGTACAGTTGGGTCAGGACCCGAGCAGGGGGGAAATGGTCAGGGTGAGGGAAGGGAAGGGAGGGAGCGAGGAGGGGGTAGAGAGTCAAAAGAGCTGAAGGCACGGTCAAAGAGAAAGGTCTTGAGACCGGCCTTGAAGGAGGAAAGGGAGGAGGCGGCGAAGGCACTGGGGGATAGAGTTCCAGAGCCTCGGGGCTGAGAGGCTGAAGGCCCGGCCACCGATGGTAGGGCGGTTGGGGTGGGGATGTGGAGCAGACCGGAGCCAGAGGAACGGAGGGTACGGGCAGGTAAGTAGGGGGATAGTAGGTCGGAGAGGTAGGAGGGAGCAAGGCCGTGAATGGCCTTGTAGGTGAGGATGAGGACGGGAGGACCTCTCAAGGTGCTGGACAGTGTACAGCATTTCAGACCTGAGCTGGGGTCAGGGGGGGAGAAGGGAGGTGAGGGGAAAGGGGGGGGGGCGATGGCATGGTTGAAGAGGAGGGTCTTGAGACTGGACTTGACGGAGGCTAAGGAGGGGGTGAGGCGGAGTGATTGTGGGATGGAATTCCAGAGTTTGGGTGCAGAGTGGCTGAAGGCTCTCCCGCCAATGGTGGGGCGGGTGGGTCGGGGGACACGGAACAGGCTGGAGCCGGCTGAGCGGAGGGAGCGGGCGGGTTGGTAGGGGGTTAGGAGGTCGCAGAGGTAGGGTGGGGCGAGGCCGTGGAGGGCTTTGTAAGTGAGGACCAGGATCTTGAACTGGATTCTCTGAAGGATAGAGAGCCAATGGAGTCGGGTGAGAGTGGGAAAGATGGGTTCACAGAGTTTGGTGCGGGAGAGGACACGGGCTGCAGAGTTCTGGATTATCTGCAGTCTGTGGAGGGAGGAGTTGGGAAGGCCGACAAGCAGGGCGTTTGCATAGTCGAGCCTGAATGTGATGAAGGCATGAACAAGAGTATCAGCGGCCTAAGGGGTGAGGTAGTGGCGGAGTCGGGCGATGTTATGGAGGTGAGGGAAGCAGAGCGGGTCATGGCTTGGATGTGGGGAAGGAAAGACAGTTGAGGGTTGAACAAGACACCTAAAATTGGTGAAATTGGTGTACTGGACTATATAAGCCCAGTGTGTGGCCTGAACCCACAACCTTCTGACTCAGAGACAAGAGTGCTACAATTTAAGCCAGATTGTCATCTCATGTGCCAGTATCATTTCCACGTCCGCTTCAAAGCCCGGTGCGGAAAAAGCAGATACAAGATATGGATGGTTGATAACACAGATACGTGGTGTTTTGCTGTACTGCATTGTTTACATTGCCGCTTGCCAACATAGTCACAGGTTGGAATATTTTGCGACCTTCAATTGCCCGAAACATTACAGCCACCCTACAGAAATTGCTCAATGGGTGACTAGTAATCTAGGGGTAAAACTACCTCACGTTAAATTACACCAGTGACATTGAGCACTAGGTGGCAGTGCACCCTTCTAAGTACATGAACTCCGTCTTTCAGATGAGATTTCTGCCATCTTTGATATCATTGAAGGGGGGTGAGTTTGATTATAAATTGCAGCCTCTGGAGCAACTTATAACTTATTTTCAGGGTTCAACTACCAGAGAAGGACAAAATGTCTGGTTGGAAAAAACATTCTACTCTTCGGACAGCCTAGGTCTGAGGTCAAGAGTAAAAGTTTTTTAAAAAAAATCACAAACTTTACCCCATAGGGGAAAAGTGCAACCTCATCTGTAACAGGTGAAACATGTTAATTATCAGCATTACTCAACGAGTTCAATAGTTTCCTTCCAGGGTGTCCTCCCGACGTGAATGTAATTTTGTGTTGTTATTGTTCTGCACTGTAATTTAATGATTTCATGCATTCATTGATACATAAAAAATATTATAAGCACGGAACAACAAATTTGGTAGCACTATCAGCAAGGTGTTAGCCTGGTTCAGTTGGTAACACTTTCATCTTTGGGACAGCCCCATGTGGGGACATTGAGATAGTAGTCTCAGCTGGCATTCAGTTGCAGTGCTGGGAGAACTTTACATTGTCAGCGATGCTGTCATTTGGCAATATTTGAAAGAGGGGGTAGTTTCTCCTGATGATCTGGCTAAAGTTGGTCATTCGCTACATGGTTGTTTGTCCAACGTTGCTCTGCTCAAATTGACTGACATGTTCACTTATAACACCACCAACAAAATTACATTTGTATAGCAAATACATAGTGACTACACTTTACAGCAATTTTGTGAAGCTCTTTGAGATGTTCTCAGCATTATAGGTACAATATCAAATATAAGGATTATTAATATTGTTTCCTGGTGATTTCATGAAAATACCTTTTGGGGAAATATTTTTGTTCTTAAGGGAGGGAGAAAAAGTTAGGAAGGCTGTCCCTCACAAGAATCTCACACACAAGTGATACCGTGATATAATGGGATGATACAAGGTTTGTTCCACTCATTCTCCTGAATGCACTGGTCCTTTAACAGTGCTGACTGCAACCACTAAGACCATCTTAATGAGATGAAAATGTAAGCAGATGTTCCCTGCAGATAAATGTCAGAAAGCTGCTTTGAGTAATTGCTGTACATTTTGCAGCAGCTTAAAGATATTAATCAGAGACCCAGAACATTTCAAGACCTTTGCCTAAAGACCATTATTTTCAAATTTAAGAATCTCAAAAAGAACGGCAGGAAAACAACTTGTAAATTAAAACAATACAGGAGGATTTGAACATACTTGAGAATTGGGCAGATCGGTGGCAGATGAAATTCATTGTGGAGAAATGTAAAGTACTTCACATGGGGACAAAAATTCCTGGAAGAGACTATTATTTGAACGGAAGGAAAATAATATGTATGGAAAATGAAAAGGACCTGGGGGTCCTGATTGACAATAAGTTGGACTCTCCCAACAATGCTGTGTGTCAGTGAGTAAAGCAAACCAGATGTTGGGATGTATCAAAAGATCAATAACAAGCCAAAATGATGGGCTAATCCTGCCACTGTATAAATCATTGGTGAGAACATACTTAGAGTACTGTGTACAATTCTGGTCAACGCAGTATAAAAAGGATATTGGAGAAATCAAGAAGATACAGAGGAGGCCAACCAAAATGATTGAGGGAATGGAAGGACTGAACAATCAGGAGCGACTAAGTTAATTGGCCATGTTCACGCTGGAAAAGAGAAGATTGAGAGGCGACATGATTGCTTCCTTTAAGATTCTAAAGGGACAAGATAATATAGATCATGACAGGCTGTTTCAACTTGTCCAGAATAGTAAAACCAGAGGACAGGGCCTGCGACTGAAGGGGGTAAATTCAGAATGAATCTACGCAAACACTATTTCAGTGAGCATGTGGAACAAGCTTCCTAGGGAGACGGTTGAAGCAGGAAGTGTTGATTCTTTCAAATACAGATTAGATAGTTTTAAGAAATAACATTATGGGATACAGTACATAGTTAGTTCGGGACTTATGTGCATGCGACCACCAGGAAGGTGGAAGGCGAACTAGATGGACCTTGATCTTTTATCGTCTAGCATTTCTTATGTTCTTATGTTCTAATATTTAAGAATTTTCTCATATGATTTAAATTTTAACAAAATGAGAAATATCAGGTGTCTAGACCCTAGAAAATGAGGTATGAGATCCAGAAAGGTTTCTTTTACCTGCCATGTTGTGAATGAACATAGGAGTGTCTCCATTTCTTCCAGGGCCAATGGATGGTCTTGTCCACAATCTAGTTGCGGAGTGCTCAGACTTTCTCATATTGGCAAATTACATTTTAATATGTCACTCCTGAAATCTCAAAATCTCACAATGCTGTTAAAACTTTCTGAATCTACATTTTTGCTCCCATCATCATGGTTGCTGGAAACAAATTCAGGTCCAGCACCTTTGCAGCTAAAACATGATTTGAAATGCAGATGACCAAATGCCATTTGAATGCACTCCAAAAGCTCTAAAACCCACTGGATTTTTTAATATTGGTTTAACTACCCTGAGACTTGTGGAGCTGAGAAAAGGAATTGAACTGATGGCAGATTTTGCTGGTACATACTTTACCAAACAATTACTGTTCCAGTGCTCAACCAGTCTATTTCTGACCTCGTCATGTGTAAATGTATTGATTCTGTTCATGATTTCAGTGATCCGTCTGTAGCTGTACAGACTCATCTATATTCTCCTGATATATTATTGACATTTCCAAATGCAGGAAGATTAAAAGCTATTAATTTCTGTTGAACAACAACATAAATTTATAATAATAATGATTTTGTACAGCGCCTTTCATGTTGGGAGTGCTAAAGCGCTTCACAGGATGTACAGTCACTCCACTTTACAGTATATACTGTGAAGTGCTTTGAGATGTCTCAAAGTCATGATAATATATATCAAATGCAAAGATTATTATTATATACTGCAAAATACTGTGGTTGTATTAATTTGGTCTTTTGTTAAACATGGCTGTATCTATTCATCAAATTCCTCTATGAACCATTCCTTTAACCTGGCACTCTGACTCGATAGCAAACCTTTGTGTGCAGTGCCATTCATTTTCTGACTTTTATTCACCCACTAACTCTTAAGCACGGTGATGGGTTTCTGCAGGTGTCAGACAAGCAGTTGACCAAAAAAAATTATGCAGAATTTCCAGCCACCAACTCTTGTAATCCTGTAAAACATTGCTAGTGTATATTTAGCCCCAGGGTTCCTGTATATGAATATTGTATAGGCAAGGGTCCTTCAGGTGCTTGTAAAGCTGTCACCAATGCTGTTTCTTCTGTGCTGACAGGTGAGGAACGATCTGACAAATGAACTGGAGAAAGCAGATATTCAGATTGCAGACACCGAGAGTTTTTCTAATGATCCCTGCCCGAGCGTCAAAAAGCTTAAGGTAAGTCCAGGAGTCAGCGCAGGTAAAATGCAGTGCTAGTCTAGAAAAGAATGAGAAACACATCAATTTAAATCATTTACAGAAAAGTTTTTAATATAATTTTCAACGTCCTTTTCAAGTGTGCCCAGTGGGAATAAGGGACTATTTTGTCACCTATGGGACTTTGTTGGAATTCAACCCGGACAAATATGTTAGAGATTCCTGCTTGCATTGAATGCCTCTAAGGGCATTCCTTAAGATTTTTCTGGATAGCCTCAGCACAGTGTTCCGAAGGCATACTTCCCTGAAACAAAATTAGCCTTCCACAGGCACACATAACATCCTTCCACAGGCCTCACATAACACAAGGGCAATAATTTATGGAGTATTTGCTCAGTGAGGGTGACACTGAGACAGGCTTCGCTATTTCTTCAAACTTGAAAAGTAATGACCAACTAATGGTTGGATGGCACTGAGGCATTGACACCTTGACAGACTGCTAGCAAATATCACAGGGTGAAGTTCACTGAGGGATCAGGAGCAGGAACCCAGGTTAATTTACCCAAAACTAACCCAGTAGCTTGAAGGCCACAACTGTTGCCGTTGAATTGCATAATGGCATTTGAAACCTCCATGAGGCCTAGAATTCCACTAAATTCAATCTCTAAGGTCTCTATGGACCTTTATTTAACTCAGTCTTAATACGGAAGCTGGCCTTCATAACAATTCAGAAAAATGACTTCCGAATCAAGCCTGAATTTAAGATGGTTTCACAACTCTACATGAATTTTAACAAAATGGTTTAAAGACTAATATTAGGTTGAATTTTGTGCCCCAGGAGTTCAATGTTTCTCATATTACTGACCTTAACAATGTCTTAAAATTACGATTGTGAATAATATTCCATTTTAATTTGGAATCCAATTTTCCCAAATCCCCCCAAATTTCTTACAGTCATAACTTTTAAGACAAAGATGGAATTTCCATGTATAGGTGGGATGGATACTCTTAAGCGTGATGTTGGATTCTGCACATATCAGACACATTAAAGATGTGTCAAAAAAGACAAAGATAATTTGGGGCACATCAAGTTTTCACTCTTGCCCTGGTACAGTTCCAGGGGCACTGGCAGTCCTACAGGACATCGCCCAGGTGATCATTCTTTATGTATCAGTCTTGACAGGGATATATTAGTCAATTGCAGGAGGAAACAAAGCCAAGCCTGACACAAATGAATAGCTTCTAGCTAGGCTCACAGGTCAGTGATCAGAAGAGGAAGCCAGCCTGTTTTTTTTAACTCCCTCATTTGCCAAGGGGCACAACTACTTCTGCACAGCTGATGTCAGCCAACTCAGCACAGACCACAACTAAACCAGTCTGTGATTTTAATAACTTGAACCGTCGGAGGGGTTGGGAAGCTCCATGATTCCTTTCATCTCAATGCTGTATTGCATGATGATGTAATGATTTATTTCAGCACAAATTACATGAGTACAAGAGACCCGTGGAACTGAACCCCAGAAGGAGTCAGAACTTCAGGAGCAGGGAAAAAGTTGGAGGGAAGNTTTTTTTTAATTAAAAACTTACCGCCACTCACAGTCTAGGCTCACCCAGGAGGAAAAGCTGCACGGACAAAGTGCTGGAGGGATGCCATTATCCTCAAGCGAATTGATATTTAGAACATGGTTTCTACACAGGAATGAGAGGTTACAAATCATACTGTAATATAAGAAAAAATGAATAGAAAGATGGGACTAATTACAAAGACTGTTGTAGCTCAAGATTCAGTTTTCAGGATGTCATTTCCATCAATTCGGAATATTTTCTTCCTATATTCTCTGTGTCAAAAAGTGAATTGGAAACCAGGCTAAATTAGTTAGGTGTCAAGGGATTCTGTGCTATTAGAACACAATATGATTCTAAGATCAGTTCAGATAAAGAAGACTCTTCAGCCCTTTTGATCTCATCCTTTCAGAATACCTACTCTGCCATCCTTCATTCACAGCATCAAGCTGTTTTTTTTTAAAAGAATCCAGCATCATGGGCTCAACATACTTCCAAGTAACCTGTTACTGTCATTAGTTATCATCTAGTAAAGAGATATTTCCTGGTAACAACAACGGGAGTCGCTGGGAACATTCAGCAGGTCAGGCAGCATCTATGGAGAAAGGAAAATGAGTCAACGTTTCGGGTCCAGGACCCTTCATCAGAATGAAGTGTCATCAGATGAAAGGTCGTGGACCCGAAACATTGACTCACTTTTCTTTGTCCATAGATGCTGCCTGACCTGCTGAGGGTTCCCAGCAACTTCTATTTTTGTTTTCAGATTTCCAGCATCTGCAGTATTTTGCGTTTTGTAAATATTTCCTGGTGTTTGTTGGGAAATTGTCCTTTGCAAACCAAAGCCTTTTGTGCTGTCTCTGTGCATTGGAAAATATTGTTCTGAGTTTACTTTCCTCAATCCCATTTAAAATTGTATATTCCTCTATAAGTTTCCCTCTGTTTGCCTCCAAGACTGAAGAGTCCTAGCTTGCATAAGTCATACCTTTAACACCAGAGTTCATCCTCGTTCCTCTCCTCTACATTGCATCTATGATCTAAGCAATCCATTTATGGTAACTAAAACTGTGCTCAGCACTCTATGTTGTTACAGCATGGGAGGGCAATCATCCAATCTTTCCTCTTTTAATGCTTCCCTAATAAAACTTTAATCCCATTCCCTTGCTCATTCCCCTTTCTCAGCATCAGTTTCAGGAGAAGAAGGCAAGTATCAAACAGAATCCAGAGTGTGCTGTAACTGAAAGGTCACTAACCATTCTAATGAGTTCTTGTTGCCTGCTGCTGGTATCAGAAACTGGTGTCAGAAGCAATGTGCTGCTCCCTCATGTGTCAGACTCACTGACACTTCAGTGACTTTAGGTTGGGTGTTGAGCGTATCGCTAAGAACTGTAAGTTCTTGTTGCTAATACTTATGTGAGGAGAACCAGCCATCCAGACTAAACCTTTTCATCCTTATTTTAGTTGTACAGTTTGTTCACTCAGTAATTTACACATTAAGTCATTGTAACAAGTCTTAACTTGACAATGATAAGTGTCCTTGCAAAAAGGGACTTCTTGTTTTATGTTATACAGTATTATGATTTCTCATTTACAAGGGAGCAATGGCATACTTTAAAAATAAAGGTTGGCGAGGCACAATTGATGTTATATCTTGTGGGAGATCCAAACAGATTCAATAGGTGATAATCCTGTTACATTAAGGCAGTAGAGTCACTGTGAAGGCAGGCACACTTGTTCTATTTGAGATGAGATGTTAGATATGGGGAGCATTCAACCATTCCTCTCTGACATGAACAACAAGCCTGGGGAAATATAATCCTCAAATGTTATTCATTTGAAACTCGTCTTTCAAATAGTTTTACTCACTTAGGATAGTTTGATTAAGGCACAGTTCTCTTTGGGTATCGCAGGAAATTAACTTCCAAATTAAGCCTGAATGTTTTCCAAAATTCAGATGATGATCTTAAATCTAAGGATATGAAAGGTTCCAGGCCCATGTGTGTTATGTGCACTTACCAATGCAGACATTTTTTAATTCAGTACAACTTTTTATTAAATTCTTTCCTCGCTGGTATATTTCTGTCTGCTCTTGGTCTGGTCTTCTGTTGTTGAGGTATAATTACGTGAGCATTCATTGCCTCTGATACAAGTGGCGTTGTTCATGTGCATGTCTTGACAGTGAATGTCATTTGGTTACTCGACTGTAGAAGGCATCATAACCAACTCTGACATCTCCCACCCACGCAATTACCCCCCCCCCTACACACACACACACACACACACACATACACACACACATAACCACTAGAGAATATAATAGACTGACTGGGAAAAGTAATCTGGCTGTTTTTTCTTTTCTTTATCCCGAAAAGACTAGGGCAAATAATTATAAAATTCCTTCTGTTTAAGAATATTGATACAGTGCTGTTCAAATTAGTAAGGTGTTTCACAAGATTTACTGTAAAGTGAAATAACTTTGCTTTTTTGAAAGCAAATGTGGCAGCTACTTTGCACACAGCAATGCCCCATAAACAACCATGAAGTGAGTGACCAATTTTATTTGGGGGATTCTTTCCTAGAACATCAAATATTTCCATCGGATCTCTATCGTCCACCTGGACATGTAGACGGGACCTTGTTTTAACATCTCATCTGAAAGTCGGCACCTCCAACATTGCAGCCCATATACAATTCCTGCTTATCTCCTGACTAACCTTTTTTTTCACTGCAGGATAATGATGTCCGAATTATTCTTGGCCAGTTTGATGAACATATGGCAGCGAAGGTATTTTGCTGTGTAAGTATGAAGAGGTGATATTTGCATGAAATGGGACCCATTGTTCCAGGCGTCAAACTAGATTTATAACAAGAACAAGTAGGTCTAATTTAGGATTATTATTATTATGTTTATGTGGATATTGTAGAATTGGACAGAGTCCAGCATAAATTTACATGGATACAAGGGATAAATGGATTCAGCTACCAAGACAGGTTGGAGTTTTTCATTTTAGATTTGAGATAATTGAGAGGGCACTTGATAGAAGTGTTTAAGATTATCAAAGGATTCAATAAGGTGAACATTGAGAGGCGTCTCTACTTATTGGTGAGTCCAAGATGACAGGGAATAAATATAAGCTAGTACAACAACAACAACAAGATTACATTTGTATAGTGCCTTTCACGTCGGGAGGACATCCCAAGGCGCTGGACAATGTACAGCATTTCAGACCCGAGCTGGGGTCAGGGCGGGAGAAGAAAGGGGAGGGGAAGGGGGGTGGCCGATGACATGATCGAAGAGGAGGGTTTTGAGTCGGGACTTAAAGGAGGCTAAGGAGAGGTTGAGGCGGAGTGATTGTGGGATGGAATTCCAGAGGTTGGGGGCAGAGTGGCTGAAGGCTCTCCCGCCAATGGTGGGGCAGATGGGTCGGTCGGGGATGTGGAACAGGCCGGAGCCGGCTGAGCGGAGGCAGCGGGCGGGTTGGTAGGGGGTTAGGAGGTCGCAGAGGTAGGGTGGGGCGAGGCCATGGAGGGCTTTGTAGGTGAGGACCAGGATCTCGAACTGGATTTCCTGAAGGATAGGGAGCCAATGAAGTTGGGCAGGAATGTGGGAGATGGGGTCACGGAGTTTGGTGCGGGAGAGGACATGGGCTGCAGAGTTCTGGATTATCTGCAGCCTGTGGAGGGAGGAGTTGGGAAGGCCGACAAGCAGAGAGTTTGTATAGTCGAGCCTGGAGGTGATGAAGGTATGAACGAGGGTTTCAGCGGCCTGAGGGGTGAGGTAGTGGCGGAGTCGGGCGATGTTATGGAGGTGAGGGAAGGCAGAGCGGGTCATGGCTTGGATGTGGGGAAGAAAAGACATTTGAGGGTCGAACAAGAAACCTAGGTTCCTGACTGGCGGTGAGTTGGTGAGTTGAAGTGTGCAACCATGGAGGTTGATGCTGCCAGAGCCTGAGGTGCAGAGGCGCTGGCCCGAGCCAATCAGGAGGGCCTCAGTCTTGTTCACATTCAATTGTAGGAAATTTGCCCTCATCCAGAACTTGATGTCCGACAGACAGTCTGTCAGGACAGCAGTGGTCCTGGAGTTGAGGGTGGAGGCAGAAAGATAGAATTGGGTGTCACCCGCATACATATGGAAGTTGACCCCATGTTCTGTGGATGATGTCACCAAGGGGGAGCATGTAGATAGTTGTAGTAGATCTAATGGAATTTAAGAGGATGTTCTTAACACCGAGAGTGGTGAGAATGTGGAACTCACTGCCACTGTGGCTGAAGCAAAAAGCTTATTTATTTATTTAAAAAATTATTTAACAGAAAACTTGATACATACATGAGGGAGAAGCGTTTAGGAAAGGGGATAGAAGAGGTGGAAATTCATGTAATATAAATATATATCTAATAATAATAATCCTTGCATTTGATATAGTGCTTTTCATGTCTTCTAAGTGTCTCAAAGCGCTTCACAGAATATACTGTAAAATGAATTGACTGTATATTTTGTGGGCGAAACACGCCAGCCAATTGCGCACAGCAGTGTCCCACAAACAGCCATGGATTGAGTGACCAAATTAGTATTGTTTTTATTTCTTGAGGGATTATTATCAGGTGCGTGGAGTAAGGAACTTGCCCATGGTTTTACCACGCCGGGAATCAAACCTGAAAGACACCATTTTATGTAATTATATGTTAGCATGTTAACAGATTTATATTTTAGAAAATCATTTATAAGCTGGTTTTCTGCAATCTTTTTTCCGTACTGAAAACAAACATCTTCCCATTTGAGAATGAATTTAAGACCATTTTCCAAAATTTGTCACAATCTCAAATTTTAGACATTGGCCTTAAGCTGTTTTCAAACCCTGTAGTCAATTTGCACACTGCAATATCCACCAAGAATCATAATTATAATTATAATCCTTGCATTTGGTATAGCACCTTTCATGTCAGGAGGAAGTCTCAAAGCCCTTTACAGTATTAGTTGTGAAGTGAAGTGACTATGTTTGTAGGCAGACATAGCAGCCCAACTACTCACAGCCATGTTCAACAAACATCCATGAAATCCATGAATGATCAATTTTATTTGGGGCATTGCTAGCCAGGACACCGGGAACGTCAACCTGAACAGACAGACAAGTCTATCGTCTTATCTGAATGATGGTACCTCCAACAATGCAGCATACTCCGGCACTGTATTGGAGTGTCAATCTAGACAGTGATTTCTAAGTCTTGAGGTGGGACTTAAACCCTCAACTTTATAACATGGAGATGAGAGTGCTACCATTTGAGCCAGGCTAATTGGGAATATGTTCCAATTCTATATGTTGCAAAGTGTATTATTATGTTATTAATGTGCTAAAATGAATAACAATTAATGTATAATAAAACAAATGGAGCGAGCCTGTACAATACATTTGACTTTGATTGTGACCTCTGTGTTTGAGTTTGACACTGGAGAATCACACTAGCTGAGAGACTGTCTTACATCCTATCAGCCCAGCATGTTCACCCAAGGTAGCATTTAACACTGTGACACCCTGTATTTGGCAGATGTTACTGATCTTTGGTGATGGTAGGAGGCAAAGAGAATATATTAATTCTATTTTGTTCTGTCCAAATCGCTGAGTAATTACTACTTTTTTCCATAAGTAGGCAGAATTTGGGATCTTGGCATCAGTTACAAATGTTTTTTGCTTCTAATGTTACTTAGAATTACATAGAACATTACAGTACAGAAAATGGCCATCGGTTCATCTCGACCTTGCCAGTGTTATACTCTACATGAGCCTCCGCCCCTCCTAATCTCCTTTCCCATAATTATTAGTTATCGACTCCAGGTCTGCCGATATTCTATCAGCTTGTCTGGCAGACATCAGGGCCTGGATGAATGTAAACTTCCTGCAGCTGAATGTGGACAAGACGGAAGCCGTACTCCATGGCTCCCGTCATCTTCACTCCTACGGATCTGAACTCCTCAACCTCCCTGGGCTTTCCATCTGACTCCCCAAACCAGTGTGCATTTTCGGCATCTGGTTCGACCCCCAGTTGTCTTTCCTCCCCTACATCTGGTCCCTGACCATGACCGCCTTCCTCCACCTCCGCCACATTGCCCGCCTCCAACCGTATCTTACCCCAAATGCAGCTGAAACCCTCATGCATGCGTTTGTCACGTCCCGCTTGGATTCCTCCAAAGCACTCCTCACTGATCTCCCCAGCTCCACTATTCACAAGATCCAGCTCATTCAGAACTCTGCCACCCACATACTGACCTGGACCAAACTCCGTTACCACATCTCACCAGTTCTGGCCAGGCTCCACTGGCTTCCCATCACCAAACGGATCGACTTCAAGATTCTCACACTTGTTTTCAAATCCATTGACTCCCTGGTACCTCCCTACCTCTCCGACTTCCTCGCTCCCCAATCCACCACCCGGCGCCTCCACTCGACTGGCACCGGTCTCCCTTGCACCCTTTGCCCCACTATCGGAGGTTGAGCTTTCAGCCGCTACACCCCAAAACTCTGGAACGCTCTCCCTCAATCCCTCCGCCTTGCCCCCTCTCTCCCCTTTTTCCAAGTCCCGCCTAAAAACCTTCCTTCTCGACCGGGTTTGCAGCCACTTCCCCCCATCTCCCTGCTCGGAGTCAGGCGCCGCCACTATTAAGCACTCTGAGATGTTACTCTGCTTGGAGGATGCTATATAAGTGCAAATTGTTGTTGTTGTATTAGTCCTTTCTCTGTCATGTATGCATCAACTTTTCTTTTTAAAAAAATTGATATTTTCTGTTGATTGATTGAAAATTTTAATAATCTTAATCACGAATAATTCCACATAATGAGACTCTGAAATAAGTGGAAAATACACTGTTATCTTAACAGATTTTTGTGTTACACTTTAGTAACCTCCAGAGAGGTCACTGAGTACCAGACTGCTGGAAAGCTAAATGGTAATAATCTTTTTCTGAGTGTTCCTGTGACATATTATCCAGCATGGTGCTCAAAGCGCAGGTCTGCACCAATGCCGATCTGAGATAAATCAGTGGAAGATGTGCGGGAATGGCCCCAGAGGCAGAGGAATTAACCAATAGACTCTGTATCACTTCTACTTTTGCTTGACACAGTGAAAGGGATTTTACATCTTCGATCCGGTCAAATTTGTCAGTGTGGTGAAGGTTTCAAATGATGAAGAAGGTGACACAAATTAAGAATAAGCAAGTTAGGATAAAGAAAGGAGGTCAGGGAGAACATTTTATTCACACAAAGGGTAATCGGTTTGTGGGACGAGTATCTGGGAAGCAGCGAGTAGAAGCAGGGAGTAGAAATGAAATTAAGAAGCAACTGGTCGATGTGTTGCTGGAAAGAGAAAGAATGGCAGGGCGCTGGGGACCAGGCTGGTGTTCGGTTCAGCTGAAAACTTTATACAGTACATATCAAAATTCTGTCGTGGAGCATCCCTCTTTTTTGCAGGAGGGCGGTTGTGTTCACCAAGTGAATGTTTGTAACAACATAGGGGATGAGATTTTCTCTGCTATACATTTGAGTGATCATCTGGAAAATTAAACATTTTCCCAATTCACAGAAAGTTGGAAGATTGTGTACTTTCAGGTCATGCTTGGCTGTACCCTGACAATTGTTGTGCCACAAAAGACTGCTTGAGTTTCGCTAGTTTTCTATCCACTGCTTCTACCCTGTTATTGTCATGGTGTGTGAGGAGAGGGAGAGCTGAGACAACTTGGGAGAAAAAAGAAGGTGGACCAAACTGATTGAAGGAAATGTGCATATGAGTATCAGTGGAACTAATCTGAGTTTGTGTGTGTGAGTGAGTTTATGTGGGGTGGGTGGGGGTCACAAATAAAAAGGAGCTGAAACGAAAGCGAGCATGTTACTGGGGAGGTGAATATGACATTGTGTTTGGAGGTGGTGGGGGCAGTAACCAAGCATTGCTTTTGATCCTCTGTATATTGTGAGCAGTTATCCTGATTCTTTCACTCTTCTGTTGTGGAACACACTAATCAGAGGGAGCTCTTGGTTAGTGGAATTGTGAGTTCAACTCATGGTAAAGTCATGCTCATGGTAACCATCAGCTGAATGCACAGTCCAGCTTCATAGATGTCAGGATTAAGAATGGCACTGGGAGGGACAGAGGAGTCAAATACTGAAACATGAACTTGGTGCACAAAACTATTGACTTGCTCTTTTCTGTTTCAATAGGCCTATAATCTGAATGTGTATGGAATTAAATACCAGTGGATCATCCCTGGCTGGTATCAGCTCAACTGGTGGAAACTGACCACTTCCAATAACTGCACGGTGAAACACCTCCTGACTGCCATGGAGGGATATGTAGCTGTGGATTTTGAGCCGCTCAGTACTAAAAACATCAGGACAATATCTGGGCTGGTGAGTACAAATCCTTTCTCTTAAGTTTCCAATTTAAAAATAAAAATTGTGGCCTCCTTTAAAGCTTGACTTTCTCAGTATCTTACGAGGTCCTTTCCCCCTTTCTCCACGGTGCCAGGCACTATTGTCTGGATTGAGAAGGGTGAGCTTCTGACTACCCGACTGCTCTACCAAAACTGGAGAATGGAAAGTGAGTTCTGATGAAGGGTCGTGGACCCGAAATGTTGACTCACTTTCCTTTCTCGATAGACGCTGCCTGACCTGCTGAGGATTCCCAGCGACTTCTGTTTTCGTTTCAGATTTCCAGCATCTGCAGTATTTTGCGTTTTGTTAAAATAATTCTGATCTGTTTAGCTTTCACTCTTTGTTTGACAAGTAAACAAATTCCAAGAAATGGGCAAAGACATTTCTGATTGTGTCCAAACTAGGGGTGAACATTTCATACAGTCAGCAGACAGTGTGCCAGCTGCTATTGATGGTAACCATCAATTTAAAATTGGTGCAATCCATCTGCAGCACGTTTCAGGCAATGAATCCTTGAATTCTGTAATAAAGCAAAGTGGGGTGAGGATTTGCGATGTGATAATTATCATCTGGGCAGAAAATGCAGCTAAAACCTGCCCTCAAAGACAAGTTTGGGAATGAATTCCCTTTGACATTGAGGGCATGATTTTGCACAGAGCCACACAAGATATGATATCAGTGGCTTTAGCCAAGTGAGGAGTGTGAGCACAGGAGCAGTGTTTTAGCACAGCTTCACCAGACACCAGCTTCATTTTAAGAGATAATACTGTACTTTCAAATATGCCAAGGCAGTAAGACAAGTCACAGATTGTTAGTTGTGAAGGACAAGTTAACACACACACACACAAAGTATTTATTTGTTCAAAAGTTGGAGAAAGACCTTTTCATCAAAGCTCCCCTTGTGATCTTGTCAGGCACGGGAAGGATAATAGGAGAAGAAATCTACCACTAAATCACAATGGTAGTTATACTGCCTCTATTCAGTCTAAAATTGGAAATGTGTTCATTAAAACTGACAATTGTTATTTTATCATGCAGGAGCTTAGGTCAGGGTGGTCCAATTGGCAGTTCCGCGGGCCGATTGCATCCGTGCCCCCTCCCTCCACTTCATCTGGCCCACCCGCTCCCTCCACAACCTGGAAATGTTATGTAATGTTTCTGGAAGGGAAATACAAAAATATTGCTTATGCAACCGATGGAGGTTTCTCAAATAGGGCATCTGGCCCTCAGCAGCCGAAAAGTTGGACCACCCTGGCTTAGGTTAACAAGATTACATTAAAACTCTGGTTGCTGGACCAATGGGGAGGGCACCCAGGCCAGCAAGCCGGAATTTCCTGCTAAATGTAATTACATTGCCAGCATTAACGTTTACTGGCTTTTTCAGCACAGGCTTTATTCAGTGCCGAAAAATGCTGGTAAATGCCGGTACTGGCATTGTAATTGTTGGAATCCTGGGAGCAGAAAATTGCGAATAAGCTACCTTCTGTTTGTGGGATTCAAACTGAGTCAACGTCGATATCCTTGGACACCGAATACCAGCAAGCACAATGAGGCAGGGGCTTGCAATAGCGGTGGGAGTTTACACTCATGCAGGTCTGCAGATGTTTTTTAAAAATTCTGTTCAGGACCTGGTCCAGCTAGGTACAAAAATTCCAGATACCGCAATTCTGATAAAACAGGGCATTACTGTACATATGTCAGCATTATAAAGTTCTCACCATCTCCCCCTTTGCAGACACCTCAAGAGTATGAACGAGAGTACAATAAGATGAGGGGCAGTGCTGAATACAGCAAATTTCATGGTTTTGCATATGATGGAATCTGGGTGATCGCCACAACATTACAGAGAGCCATGGATAGCTTGAGGCGGCACAGTCATCCACGGATAATCCGGAACTTTAACTATGTCAATGCGGACCTTGGCCAAATCTTTCTGGATTCCATGAACGAAACCAACTTCTTTGGTGTCACTGTGAGTATTGTCACTGTTTACTCTTCTTACTTTGTCAATGCAGGACAGCTTGTGGCTTTTTGGAAATGTATGCAATAATAATGTTGCATCATTGCAATAGTGCAAGCTTTGCTTATGAGTCGCCGATTGTGGATGGTGTTTATCAGCAGAAGTTCCCTGTCAAGCACCATAGTCGTTTCTGCCAATGTCAATTTAGGAAAAATGTCTTTATCTGAGAAAGAGATGAATAACTATTCCGCTGTGATAATGGTGGTGTATTGTTATGCAGTTGAACCATAGGTAATACTCTATTAGGCTGAAAGCCTCACAAAACAAGAGTGCATTGGACGTAATTAACGACTGCAACAGGTTGCCAGGAAGGGGGGTGAAGGTCAGGTCACTGGGCTCTTTGAAAAAGCGGCTTGATGCTGTGATGGGAGGATGGTAGGGCTGATGTTCTGGAGAGATGAGATCTTTTGATCTTATGAGTTCACAAGCTTACCAAATAGGGACTCTGGAGGAATTTGTTTTTATATTTAAAACTGGCCATTTATTTTTCTAATTTTTTCCTCCTCTGCCTTGTCTCCTGAGCTCACTATCCAAAAAATCCAACAAATTGAAAACCCCACCTCCCATTTACTCACCCGCTCTAAACTCTGTACCCCCATCATACCTGTCCTTGCCATTGGTCCCCTATCACAGAATGGATCGACTTCAAGATCCTCACACTTGTATACAAATCCCTTCATGCCCTGACATCTCCTTATCCTTCCAACCTGCTTACTCCCCAACCCACAATTCGTTACTGGCTCCGGTCTCTTGCTTGTCCCTCATGCCCTCCAAATCACCATCAGTGGGCGTGCTTTCATCCACTATGCCCATCAATCCTTCATTTCAGTGTTAATTCAGATTCCTGTTGAAAAAGGAACAATTTCCAAATTGAGTCTGAACTTAGGAATTGTCCTCATGATCTTACGTATGAAGATAAAATGCTCTTCCAGGCTAAGACTAATTGGAACTCCAGGCTTCTGGGATTGTGTCAGAAAATTCAAGAAGGAATTAGTTAACTACAGTATTTGCAATGATATCAGTCTTGCTGTAAAAAAAAATCCTACTTTTGCATTAGCCATTAGGTCTTTTGCAGTCCTGTATGTTGTCAGATTTTAAGCACTGAAACCTGACATCACCTGATGATTTCATGAGTGTCAAGATCCCTGCTTTTTGGCCTGTCTCCAGCTCTAATATCAATTAACGTCTTTTCTTCTGATATCTTCCCAATGTTTCATATTATGAGCTTACTGTTTGATCCCAGTCTTTCAATATATTTTCTGAATTATTCCCAAATTCATATTTGAAACATTGATTGATTTCTTCACCTTGTCCTTGACTGACAGATGAATTTAGTAGGCTAAGAGCAGTTTAACAATTTATCACTCAATAATTTCTCAAGGGAGGTAGCACAACTGTGGCTCAGTGCAGTGTAGTGATTTCCCTATGTTTAGATCCTCAGGTTCCTGCACACCAGGCTATCGGTGAAGCCACAGTGTAACTTGCAGGTACATCTTTACATTACAGATAGACATCATTATCTGCTGCTACAGCAAGAGGAAATATCCTGAAAAAATTCATGAAGCAGAAGATACAGATGCTGTAGATAAAAAAGGCATGAATACCCTTAAAGATCCTCTTGTAGATGCACTTTAAGTGCTGTGAGACTTGATAAAAGATTACCAGTCGGTTTCTTGTTGCTGTCAAACCTGCAAGGAGAAACATTCCAAGTTATTCTTCAATCACTATGGGAAATAAACCTCCCTGCCATGGTGGATTGATTGTTAGTTTCAGTCCATCTGCAAATAGCATTTTGCTTTACATAAAGAATGATCTTGTACTGAGATGTTGCGTCGAACACCAATGTTTCTATTACAAAGCACCTTGATTTAGTTAGTTTTGTTTTTTAAAAAATGTGTTTTAAATGAATTGAAAATAGAAAAAAAGACTGAATAACAAGAACAATCTACATTCATATACAGCCTTTCAGGTCATCTTTTAAAAACATTATTTTCAGTTTTTAAAGAAGTTACACAAAGCTGGCTTTAAAATTAAGAAGGTATTTAAAAAATTACCAAATTCAGTACTCTCTGAAATGCTAAGTAAATAGATTAAATCTAGACCCAGGTTGAACAACCTTGGGACTTCCTCCCAATGTGAAAGGCTCTATATAAATTTGTATTGAATTGTACTTGAGGATACACGAGGATGGTATAATGGCGGTCACTGATAATGCCAGACTACATAATTCAAGTCGCAAATAAAGTATGTAAATCCATATCATGAATCTGATAAATGTGGTTCAACTCCTTGTTACAATATGTAGTCCATTTGTCTAAGTTCTGGGTTGATTTTCAATGTTTCTCCAAAAACATCAGGTCAAATCAGTGCTATGGCTGATTCAGTTTCAGTGAATGAATACAAATAATTATCTTGCATTGTAATCGGTTGGTGAACTTCTCCCCATTTACACTGAATGTTAAAGGAGTTTGACATGTCTAGTCTGCAATTGATTCATGTGTTTTTTGTTGGATTTAGAAGAACATAATTTGTTGTGTGGAACAAATGGTCGAGAATCCTCTATTATCATAGAGGTTGGGTGGCTGAGTGGGTGGCTGACAGGTCTTTGATTGACTAACAAAATTAATGTTTCTTGATTGAATATTTCTTGATTTATGGCATAAATCTACAGTACTTTGTTATTTCTGCGATTATTTTGTTGGCCAACCAAAAAGGTTGGTTTTACCTCCCTCGAGTGATCATTGCCAGGTCAACACACACACATATTACTGCTGGTATATGCCAAGCATGTTATGCCCTGATGCAATAACAATAGACCTGAGCTTTCAATCAGCATGGGCACAATATATGTAGCTTCAAAGAAGTAACTGACCAGCATCATAAAGCTCCAGCAAAGCACTGCACATTGCAAATTTTATTACTGAGATTACAGCAACGTTTCAGTTGTTATTGCTGTTCCTTCTTTTGGTCACCGTGGATTTAGCTCCATGAGATAGAAAGAGAAAAGACAACTTTGTGCATTTTGCATTTAGAACAAAGATTAGAACAAACATTTAGCCAGAAATTTCACCTACCCTTGAACTGTAAGACTATTTTGTCTTGAAAGACAACGTTTTGTAGAATTATGGAAAACTCAATCTCAATTTGAAAACCAATTATTTTAAGAACCGCAGAAAACTGGCTTCCAATTTATCACAGAATTTAAGAGTAGTTCATAATTCTGCAGAATTTAAAACAAAATGGTCTAGCAGGCTGAGAAGATGAAATCTCAGGCTTTCTCGACCCTACATTGAATGTACAGCACGGAAACAAGCCACTCGGCCCAGCCAGTCCATGCTAGTGTTTATACTCCACATAAGTTTTCACCCATTTCTACCTCCCTTCTATACCCTTCTATTAAGAAACTATTTATATATATATAAACTTAATATATATATATATAAACTTAATAACTATAAACTTCTATTAAGAAACTAGACCCTCACGTGAAGGTCTAGTTTCTTCTTGAATACATCTAAACTATCTGATTCAACCACTGTTTTAAGCAGCGAGTTTCACAATCTCATTATTGTGAAATAATTACTTCTGAATTATCTTTTAGTCCCCTAGAGGCTATCATAAATCTGTTTCCCCTGGGTACAGACTCCCCAAATAGTGGATATAGTCTATTTATTCTAACCTTGTCAAACCCTTTTCAAATTTTAAAAGATTTATAAAATATTTTAAAAGAATTACAAAGATTTTGTTCTATGTTATTAATTAAGGAAAAGTAGAAGATATGGAGTATTTAGTGCTATGCCCATCAAATCATTATAATCTATCAGTGACTGTGTTAGTTCCCTGTGATCAACAGTACTTTTACCTCTTGGTAAACTTCCAGTGATTACTTTACAATCATTAATCCATCAATTGCATTGCGCACATTGACTATAATCATCTCTGCTGGCAGCTGCTGTCATCTGAATCCCTCGACCAACATTACTTCCCGGAATCCATTCTCTACACAATGTCTATAAAATACTCCAGTAACAAACCACTGGGTTCTCAGTAAACCTGCAGTCATGACAGAAAACTGGTTAATCCTTTGGTCTGAAAGTTCACACATGTTAAAGGCAAAGCACTGTCAGCATTAACATCAATCTGGCCCATGAGCTTCATTGTATATATCATACAACAACAACAACAAAATTACATTTATAGAACGCCTTTCATGTCGGGAGGACATCCCAAAGCGCTGGACAGTCAGGGGTCAGGACCCGAGCATGGGGGAGGAGTGGGATAGGGGTGAGAGAAGGCAGAGAGGTGGGAGGGAGACCAAAGGCACGATTGAAGAGAAGGGTCTTGAGAGGAAAGAGAGAAGCTGGGAGGTATCGGCTCTCTCAAGGACCTTGGACAGGAAAGGGAAGTTTGAGATGGGCTGGTAGCTGGATAGCTGTGATGGGTTAAGGGAAGGTTTCTTCAAGATGGGGGTGGGGGTGATAGTAGGTGATTATAAAGGCACACTAGACTCCCTGGAGTATTTTGAGGACTATAATCACTCCAGAAAATGCTTTTTGTATTTGTAAAACGGTTAATTTTCTTCATAAATGTTTGTTCTACCAGAGTGACAGATATGATTGTACCATTAACGCCATATCTGCTGTATACGCCATCATCCTAGATTATTCCATTTATGACATCAGCCGTACTTATGGCTTCTCCGAGTGAGATTAACAAGTGTTCGCTGATCAAAACTGAGTTACTATGGCCCCATGTCCATTAAGAACTGAGTTCAGTCTGCACAGACTTCTTCACCTGGGACCCTCATGACTAACACTGAGAGAGGACTTTCATCCCGTCGCTCTGGACCAATTCTGAACCAAGGTCCCAACCACACATATGGAACACTCAGTAGTTTGGCGTCCTGGTCTCAACTACCCTTCCTGACAATCCACTTCAGCTGTTAATTACTA